ATTGTTGTCGAAGTTTGCAGTGTCGTGGCTGCCGGGAGGAGGGCAGGCGCTGAGGCGGGCCTGGCCCAGGCGCAGGGGCGTCAGCGTGTCCGCGAAGGTGCTCTCTGCGGGACAGAGGAGGAGCATCAGGAGGCCTGAGGGCACCCTGGATCCAATTATCCCCAGATCTCAGACCCGTGTCCCTGAAGCCCCCAGACCCTAATCTCAGTCCTCACACCGTGTCCCTGAAGCCCCCAGACCCTAATCTCAGTCCTCACACCCTCGATCTCTGACTCTGCACTCTTTAACCCCCAAAACTCAGAACCTGGGCCTTAGATAGCATCCCCCAACCCTAATCTCAGACATGAGACTGCAGACCCCAGCTCCTCCAGATCTCATCTCCAACTTCAGGCCCCACTCCTGAACTCCAAGACTTAATGACCTCAGCTCCCTCGGACCTCAACCCAGACCCTCATGACTTCAGACTCTGGCCCCCTGACTCCCCTGACCTTAGTGCTGCAAGTGGTCAGCCTGTATTGCATGCTACCTGAGTCTCTGTCTTTGCTGTACCTGACTTCCTATTGCTTTAAAAGGGCCTTCTTGACCGGGCGGTGGTAGCACTTGCCTCCAGCACTAGGGAGGCAGAGGCAGGTGGATCTCTGTGAGTTTGAGGGCAGTCTGATCTACAGAGCTAGTTCCAGTACAACTAGGACTGTTACTCATAGAAACCCTGTCTTGAAAAAGCAAAAAAAAATATGAAAAAAAAAACAAACAAAGGGCCTTCTCTTCCTTCTCTATCCTGCTTCCTCTTTTTCCACTCCCTGACCAGGTTGTTCTTGAACTTGTAATCTTCCATGGGGTTCGTGCACCAAGCCCAACTTTTTGCCTCCTTCCTCTATCCTTTTCTTTCTCGCTCTCCAAGGTTTTTATGCATTTGTACGTCTGGGCATTATTGTTTTTCTAGCTAGAACAGAATAGCCACCTAAAGAGCTAAAAATCTATATTGAGGTCCTACTGTATGGCAGGTTAACCTGAACTCATGTATCTCATTTAAATACTGTGATTGATAAGTATGAACTATTGCTACTGCCATTTGGCAACGATGGGGGCTGAGACATACAGTGAAGGGGGCACGACTTGGCACAGAATCCAAGCTGTCTTGTTTAGATTCAGGACTCTTCAATATGATAACAATGAGAACAGAAACGACAGGGCACATGATAGACCGGGGAGGGAAGAGGAAGTGTGGCTGCCAGCATCTCCAGTGGGAGGTGCCTTTGCTGACAGTAGGGGATTGGAAGAGCAAGAGGTGGAGAGAGTCAAGAGCTCCTTCTAGCAGGTTCAGTACAAGGCTGAGGTGTCACAAAGCGGCAGGTTGACAGCAGGCAGGGTGAGGTGTGCTTCTGGGAACTATAGTTTGCTAAGTACCCTGGGGTTTCTGTGTTGGGAGCTAGGGCCTGGATGATTAAGAGGGAGCATATGTTCTGAGACACAGGGCCCAGTGCACGCTACTGGACGTGCTGATCCCCAAGGGTGAAAGCTGGGCTGAGGAGCAACTCTGCCCTGTGAGGATGGTTGTTGTAAGGGAACAGACCTGAGCCCCAATTCCCTCCAGTTTCTGTCTCACTAGGTGATCTCTTCTGCTTGTGTCCACCACCCTGATGACAGCTCCCGGGGGCCCTGCCAGAGGCCAGATCAGGGGGCAGCCCTATCGGCTCTTTCAACCTGCACAGCATGCTAAATAGACTTCTCAGCAAAGCTTCAGGTATTTTGTTACAGTAGATGGAGGAGTAATTAACATGGAAGCCGAAGGTTTAGAGGTGGCTTTCAAGGCCTGCCGATGTCCTCAGACCAGCAGGTAAGGAGAAACGGTCTTGCTTTATGAACGCTTGTTCAAGCCTATAGCTGTTTATACATACATACACAAACCTATCTTCATGTTGTTACACACACACACACACACACACACACACACACACACCTCTGTACTCTGGGTGACTCTAAGAGCTGAATATATACTTAAGATATGTTTGTATAAACCTTTAAAACATTTTTGTTTATGTGTGTTTGTCTGTATAATATGTATGTGTGCCACTTGCATAGCTGCTGCCCACGGAAGCCAGAAGAGGGCACTGGATCCCCTGAAACTGGAGTTACAGATGTTTGTGGGCTACTATGTGGGTACTGGGAACAGAACTGAGTCCTCTGGAAGAGCAGCAGGTGCTCTTAGCGGCTTGAGAGCCCCGTATGTACTGTTTTTCCATGTTTTATGTGTGCTGTAATATATAATTTAAGAAAATGAGTACAGCTAGCGTATAATCCAGAACCTTCTGTCTCAGCAGAGGACATGTAGCCTTGTCAGTCAGCTACATGGTGCCTTGCAAGGCCCAGGCAGGACTGTAGCTCTGGCTTTTGTATCCACACCCAGATTTTCCCTCGGAAAGAACAACCCACCCTCACAGCTATAACCTGAGGAGTCTGGGGTCCTTCAGTCAGGCCAGTCACTACTACCCCACCCCCTGCCTATGGCCACAAGTCAAGAGATGGGGTTTGAACCCTAATGGGTAGATAAGGCCACTATGTCCTGAGACCTAGATAAGCAGCTGGTAGGACACAGGACTGTCATAGCAGGTGGGTGGTCCTTTCTTTGCCCCACAGGACAGCCAGACTGAGGAAGAAGCTATAGAATGACATCAGAGTAAGAAGTGAAGAGCCACCCCAGGCACTGGCCTTCACCAGGTAGCTGCAGGGCGCTGTCTCCTTTTTTTACACTTAAATGATATTGAAGCAACCAGATATTTCAGACTGTCTAGCCTGCGATGCTATGGCTTTGGCATGATGTTTGTTTAATCTGATGAGTCACAGGGCAGAGGGGAGGATGGGAACCACTCAGAGCCAGACCCTTTGTGCTTCGTCCTTAGGACCTTTCAACGTTCTGGGGGAAGAGGACAGTTGGAATGTCAGTGTGCCTTAGCAGATGTGAGCGTCGTTTTCCTCATCTGAAAACTCTCCTGGGGTGTACTGATGGATGAGGCAGGCCCAGCACGTGACATGACCACAAATACCAACAGGGGACATGGGATCTAAAGGAATTCCATCTCAGAGTGACAGTGGCTAGGAGGGAGGAGGAGGGAAGGACTTCCTCAGAATTACAGTCCCGGCTGCAGGCTGTGCCACCTGAGAGCCTTGGGTAAGCCTGGTGCTGGGAGCCAGACGTGCTGTCATTGGCTTAGGTGCAGCCTGAGCAGAGACTTTCCAGGTCTCCCAGGGGACTCAGTGTACAGCCAGGGCTGAGAGCTACTGAGCCAAAAACACACAAATCCAGCCTTGCAGGCCGGGAACTCCAGGGCTGGGCACTTTCCTTCTTAGAACCCAGATTCTTCCCTAAGCAGGGAACTGCACTATGGGCCTGGCCGCACCAATGTGGTAGTCAGACCCACTGCAGGAAGACACGGGGCAGGGCATATACTTCCGCCAGGCAAAAGCTGTGTGCAGCCTATAGGCCCCTTCTGACTTGGCTCAAGTTCTGGGGCACTGAAGGCACAGTCCCCAAAGACAAGGACTGTGTTTCCCAGGCCTGTGGAGCTGGCTGAAATAAAGCTTGGGTTCATTTAAATTTTAGATAAAACAACTTTTTGCGGGGGGGGGGGGGCCACATTATGAGCATGTTTCAAATACTGTCATAGGCCATACAGTACTAAATTTTTTCTTTTGTTTATCTTAAATTCAAATTTAACTAGATGTCATGGATTTTTATTGCCCCACTTGACAGCCCTACCCTGACGTCATCTTGGGTTTTGCTTCACAGGCTTATTCCGTATGGTATGACACATGATGGGGAGATGAAGGGTACTGTTACTTTTGTTGTTGTTGGTGGTGGTTGTTTCTATTCTGGGATTTCATAGCTGAGAATTTTAAAGCCATTCTACTGTCTCCTCAGAAGTCTAGGGTGCACAGGGTAAATCGGACACGGGTTGTTGTGAGGTACCCATTGGTGGCTCCTACGGTACCTTCCCAAGCCAAGTTTTTTCAGGGATCTCTCAGGCTTGTATATTACATCATTTCTGACCCACTGCCCATTCTTAATATTAAGTCATTATGGCCTAACATCCGTTTATTTACTGCAATTGAAAACCTTTTATTCAGTGCTGGGTAGTCACACCTAAAACCTCACATGCTAGGGAGTCACATATAAAACCTCCCATGCTGGGAGTTACACCTAGAACCTGCCATGCTGGGAGTCACACCTAAGACCTCCCATGCTGGGAGTCACACCTAAGACCTCCCATGTTGGGGAGTCACACCTAGAACTTCTCATGCTGGGGAGTCACACCTAAGACCTCCCATGCTGGGAGTCACACCTAGAACCTCCCGTGCTGGGGAGTCACACCTAGAACCTCACATCCTAGGGAATCACACCTAAAACCTCACATGTTGGGGAGACACACCTAAAACCTCACATGCCGGGGAGTCACATCTAACACCTCACATGCTGGGGAGTCACACCTAAGGCCTCACATGCTGGGGAGTCACACCTAAGACCTCATATGCTGGGGAGCACCCGTCACCAGGCTACAACCACAATTCCTTTTTTCTTTCTTTCTTTCTTTTTTTCTTTCTTTCTTTCTTCTTTCTTTCTTTCTTTCTTTCTTTCTTTCTTTCTTTCTTGTAATATTTTTTGAGACAGAGTTTTACTATGTAGCTCTGGCTGGCCTGGAACTTCCTATGTGCATCAAGCTGGCCTCAAAGTCATGGAGATCTGCCTGCCTCCACCTCCTGAATGCTGGAGCTAAAGGCATGTGCCACCATGCCAGGCTCCTCTTCTTATTTTCATTAGCCCTGCAAAAGACCTGAAAACCTTAACTTTGGAGGAGAAAAGAAAAAAAATTACACAATTACTCACTGACCACCCTGGGGCCTCACCGAGGCATTCTGTGACCCCCAGAAATGGTGGATCTCTAAAAGCTCGATTCCATTGTCTCTTCGCTCAGATGTGCTCAGTATCAACTTGCTTTTCCCACAGGGAGGAAAGAAACAACGACAGAGATAGAAGGTTCTATCACATAACCCAGAAATGGTTTTGTGCTCTTTCTAACTGTAGATGTCGCTGGGGCTGGAGCGATGGCTCAGGGGTTAAGAGCACTTCCTGCTCTCGCAGAGGACCAGGTTCAGCTCCTAGCACCCACATGGTGACTCACAACCGCCTGTAGCTCCAGACCCTGGTGATCTGACACCCACTTCTGGCCTCCACCACATGCACACACCTGATGCATATACATACACTCAGACATGCACTCATACCTATGAAAAAAGCAACACAACTGAACACATGCACATACTTTAAGTGACTCTTAGAGATACCAGGAGGAAGGAAAATTTACCCACGGCCCCACAACCCAGAGACGGAGTTCCTCTGGCTCTCACTGCCCCTATCACATGTGCGTGTGAACACTGTTCTGTGCCACGCATGTCACATCAATTAGCGCAGCTTAGGGATGACTTGCAAATAAGGAAACTGCGGCTCAGGTTTGCCCTGTTACATCATAGTGGCCTCTGTCCACTTTCCCCTAAAGGACACAGAATACTGTGCTGTGATGGTGGAGGGGTTTCCACACAAATTTGCTGAGTGAGAAAATGAAAGAAGGGATCCGTGTGTCCCCTGGGTGTTTTCAGCCTCACTGAGTCATCAAGGACAGCCTCCAATCTGTACTTTCAAAAATTCCTAACCCATTTGCACTGCTCATGTGTGGCTGTGGTTTCCTGTCTGCTCACAGAGACGTGGGCTGGGAAACCAGGCGTGATTGCTTCCTAGCTCTACAGGGACAAAGTGGTGGGAGACTGGTGAGGTTCAGGCAAGCTGCGATTTCTGGTGCCTTCACGGAAAACCTTTATGGGGTAAGGGCGGGCAGGGGTGTGGTCAGAATGCCCACGTGAGGCCCCAGAGTGGAGCTTTCCAGTTTGATCTGCTCAGACCTGGGACACAGGCCCTGCCCACATGCAAGCCAGCAGAGGTCCTTGTTTGCCAGCTGCTGGCCAAGTGCCCTCAGTGTCTCAGGCCCATGCACCCCTCCAGACACCATGGCCTATAACCCTGCCGATAACCCCATCATGCACCCACTTTCCAGGTGAAACGAATCGAGGCTCAGAGAGGGTCTGTCTCTGTGCTGATTTCACACAGATGGCACATGAGAACCAGGACTAGGCACAAGTCTCTGTGGCTCTCATTTTCCCGTCTGCTTTAACCATATAGAACTTCTTCGACTTCATTATTTCTGGGGAGAGAGGAGAGTTAGCCCCTGGAAACTGAATCTGCCTCCCATGCCCAGTGGGGTGGAGGAAGAAACAGCCCAAACATTTATTATGGGAAAATAAACTCTCTTCCCATGGGAAATAAAAAGAGCAATCGCTGGGCAGTGGTGGTGCTTGCTTTTAATCCCAGCACTTGGGAGGCAGAGGCAGGCGGATCTCCATGAGTTCGAGGCCAGCCTGGTCTACAGAGCAAGTTCCAGGACTGGCTCCAAAGCTACACAGAGAAATCCTCTCTCAAAAACCAAAAGAGAAGCAATCAGCAGCAGTCTCTGGAGTGCATCAGCCCATTCACAGGGGTTAAGAAACAGGCTATGCAGAAATACCAAAGAGTGAAGAAGACCCTCAGGAGGTGGAAGCTTTCAGCTACAGACAGGTGGGTAAATCTGTCCACTCACTTTATCCTTGCATACTTCCTTGCAGGTAAATTATACACAGGGCTCTGTCCAGCTTTCCTGAGAAACCTACTCTCCCAGCATACTTCACACCTCCCAGGTCTAGGCTGGGTTGTTTCAAATGCAGGATGCAACCTCAGAAAAAGACAAGTGATCACCATTCATTGTGGGAGGAGAGAACGGACGATGACCTCAGAGGTCTGGTGTCCTTTCATAAGAGTAACTAAGACGGAACCAGAGGTAATGGGCACCAACTCAAGGCCACCCAAGTAGGCCTTTTAGAATGGCCACTTTCCTGTTTGTGTTAATTCTACATTTTTCTTTTTGAGACAGAGTCTTAAATATAGCCTGGCTGGCATGGAACTCACTCAGAAGACCCACCTGCTTCTGCCTCCCAAGCTTTGGAATTAAAGGCATGCACCACCCTACTGCTGGCCAAATTCTACATCAATTTTTAAACATCATTTTTTTAAAAGTAACACACACATATATGTTCTTAGGCAGTCCTTGTAGCCATATAACCAGGTTAAGAAGATAGGAATATTTGGGAAGTCCTGAATGCTCAGGAGATAGTGTGTGTGCGCGCGTGTGTGTGTGCGTGTGTGTTGGTCTTTCCACCATGCTCAATGGTGGGGTGGGCCATATATATATATATATATATATACACATATACACACATACATATATACACACATACACATATGAGATCACATACAATGTTTCAAGATAATGGGAGAAAATTTTTACATTGGGAGCACCCACAGTCAGAATTTCAGCGCTGTGAGGGCCTCCCTAACCCACTTTGTAGTTAGCCTGGCTCTGGAGGCTGCACCTGACTGCCCACTCATAGGTTCATCTGCTGGATGAGTAAGAACCAGCAAAAAATGCATGTCAGGCTTCGCGAGGTGGCACATGAACAAATGACCAAAGGGGTGAAAGAGGGGTAAGTGGATGAGGGAGTAGCTGTCTAAGACTGACAAGCTGCATAGCCAATGGGCTCTGGGCCCTGCCCACATGGGTTCGCTCTCAGTTCTGTGACAAAGTAACTCTCTGTGCCTCAGCTTCCTCCCGTGGAAATTGATCGTCATTGCTATTGTGAGAATCAAGACACATGGGGACACACTGGGCAGCTGAGAGCCCTCAGGTGAGTCGAGCCCCCGGGACTGTGAACGCGCAGGCTGTGCCAACCGACCTACCCAGCAGCTGCACCTCGTCGGTGATGCCGTAGACGTCGATAAGTGCCCAGAGTGGGCCTCCCACGGCCACGCCACAGTGGAACAGCACCGGCTCACCATCGTTGACGCTGTAGAAGACGCGGCCATGGCGATCAGCCCAGTATGCCAACACCGTGTCCCGAAGTGCCAAGTTCTCAGGCAGCGCCTTGGCCCAGTATCCAGGCCTTGTGACCAGATCCGGGCAGGCGTACTTGGGGATGTCCTGCGCGCTCATGAGAGACGGGTCGTGCGCAGTGAACCCGAAGCGCAGGGCACCGCTCCAGCCAGGACGCACGGCAACCAGGCGCAGCCGTACCTGCTCATACAGGCGGATGGGCCGCTGCGTGAAGGTGACGCCGTTGCAGAAGCTGTTGCGCCGTGTGGCCCTGCGAGAGTGGCCGTCCAGCCGCACGTTCTTGCCCTTGGCCTGTGCGTGGAAGCGTGGTGCCTCACCCAGGACAGCACGCCTCTCGGGCCCAGGGCCGTAGCAAGGGCGGGTGGCCAGTAGGCGGGCAGGAGGGCTGGAGTCTATGGATAGAGAGAAAGCAAGTCAGCGCTTGGAACTCCTGTGACCAGGAATGTTATTAACCATTTCCATAATTTCCACTTTAGACTGGACATGGATACATTTTAGAATGTTCCGGCCTAGACCTAAGGAGCTCATCTACCCCTTTCCCTAACCATGGCAAGTCACTGCATACACTTCACAGATGAACAAGCCAAGGTTTAATTCTGGGTGTGAACTGAGGATCACACCCAGTTTATCACCTTCTGGCCTGAGGTCAGGTGACCTCTTCATCCCCAGCAACCCACAGCCCCCAAAATCAAGAAGCTTCCCCCCAGGACTACATCTGAGCTGCAGAATACCTGGATTCTTGAGGTGGGGATATCTGGCCGCTTGCCTCAAAATTTGTGTTCACAGTGAGGTAGGGATCTGGGCGTACACACTGTTCTGGGATCACTAAAGCAGCCTGCCTTCCCAGGCTCCCCACCTGATCTTCTTGTCTCCAAATGGGTGCAGGAAACTCCCATCACTGCTGGAAGGCCCTGTGAACCAAATGCCTAAACGTGGTGGGACACCTAGAGTCTATGATGGACCACTGGTAACCTCACCATCTCTCTGAGGCTCCAAAGCGGTCCCAGCGAGGACTCTGGCTTTTCCCCTTCTCTGATGGTCAGGCGGTTAGATTTTCTATAATGTACCTTCTGGGGGTTCATGTCTAAGGGGATTGGCTCTGAGGGTCTTTTCAGAGAACCCAGGCATTGGTCACAACCCAGGTGGCCCAGAATGGAGTGGGAGTCGTCTCTGCCTCCCTCCTCTTTCCACTCCGAGGGAGGCTGCAGGTGGGTGGTCAACACTGGGAGGAATCCTGCACTTACTACAGCAGCAGAGGCCATTTTCAAAGCAGGCCACCACAGTACATTCTGAGAAGAATGACAGGCCACCGTGGGGACACTCCTCCCACGCTCAACCCAGAGTGCACTGTGCTGTGGTCCTCTCAGGGATGGAGGTAGGTGGAGGGTTTGGTTAACCCTGAGGCTGACGGGAGGCAGAGCAAGGGGCGGGGGACCATCATGGCCCCTCTAAAGGCTGAGAAGGAAAGCAGTCCTTCTTAGACAGAAGGCACCCAGCCGCCAAAGATGATGCCGGACAAGGACCAAAACAGAGACCCTCATTAGGAAACAAACTTCAAGGACTGCTGCCAACTAATTGCTTCGCTATCGTTAAGATCTATCATGAGGCAGACAACATGCCAGGCAATGGGGACACAACTGTCCCCTTCTGATGATCCCGACGACAAAGGGAATGTTCTCCGTGGGTGGGAGTGCGCCAGTGGGGTGCGCCGGTGGGGGTACACTGCGGAGAGCAATGTGTTGAGGGCCTGCCCTGGGATTTGCATGGAGAGTCTCTCTGATGGGTGACTGGAGCAGAAAACACCAAAGGAACTGAAGGAATGAGGAGGTTAGGGAGGAGAGTTCCACACAGGGACCATGGCGCAAAGGCTCCTGGGAAGGAAAGTACTGGTGAGACTGAACTACAAGGAGCCAGGGAGGGCAAGCTGAGAGACTGGGCTCTGGGTGAGCCCAGAGCTGAGGGACTGGGGGCTTATAGATCTTTGCATTAAAAAAAATAAACAAAAAAAGCAACTACGAGGGAGCTTCATTATTGCAAGCTCGGAGCCTAGAGAGGAAGAACACCCTGGACACCAGGGCAGGATGGACAGCTGGGAGAGCCACAGCTTGGGCAGGCCTGTCAGAACACCATGCTCAGATGGGAGAGGGGCCAGCAGGTGGAGAGGGGGGTCAGATTCTGAGTATGTCTTGAAGGCAGAGGAGATCCGGAGGTCCTAAGAAATTTTCCACACAGAAATAAAAACACTTGGTATGTTTGCTTTTAAGATTAAAGCAATACTCAACAAACAGAACCTGCTTTTTAGGGGTGTCTCGGTTCTATGGAGTGTGTCTGAAGGGCGGCGGAGAAAAGGGGAAGGGTAGGGTTGTGGCGGGTGTGGACTTGGAGGCAGGGCTTCAATCACACCTGGCCAAATCAGGTCTCAATAAAGGCTAGCTGCTGCTTGCCAGCCTAGACGTCAGCTTCCTCCAGGCATTAGCTTCTCCAACAGCCCACATGCAGATAGGGGAATGGGCCAATGGAGGGACTGCAAGCCCCAAGCTCAGATCGGTCAGGGTCAAGGTATAACTCCCTTCTGTGGACTCTGTCAGGTTATTCCAGTGTGGTCACAGAAGTGCCAGGGCCATTGTTACCTCGGGTTGGTCAGGCACACCTTCCAGGTCTGGGCTGCAGTAAGACCCCATCCTTTTCCACACACCCTACAGTCGGTCACACGTATCTGCCGTTCTGCCTGCCCACAATGGTCCCTTCCCCATTATCATGTCCAGCTCCTAGGGTGACTGCACTCAAATCCAGAAGCTGGGGTGCATTTCTGGTGGTCAGCCAAGACAGACCTTCCTGTTTGGGACAGGCTTTTACTTACAAACTGGGCAGTCACCATGCATCCAGCACACACCCCGGGTCGCTTACTCTGCAGTGCCTGTCCTCCAGCCTCCCTCCCGTTCTCACAATAAAGCAACAAGGGCCTGGCGGCGGGGGGGGGGGGGGGGCTGCAGGGAGTACTCCTAGGAGGCTCTGCAGTGAGAGTGCCAGGCGGTGTTCTGTCTACTGCTCACTCAGTCTTGCCTTTACCCGCTCATACTCTCTGCAGAGCCCACAGAGTGATTGGCATCTCTCCACTGTCACAGCTGGATTCACCCCAGCAAGGAGCATATGAAGGCCAGCACATGCCCCAGCGAGCTGAGTGGCAGTGGATGGCAGCCATGTCCACAGAGATGGGTCATGAAAGGTCAGAGGGGAGTGCTGTGGACAGAGCGGGGAGTTGGTTGCTGTGGGGGAAGCAGAAGACCACAGTAGTGGTGGCTCAGGGTGCCAAGGCTGGGCAGTTGCTGGGTGAAGGGTTGGTACATGTGCTGTCCATGTCCCGGGACTCAGCTGGACGGTACTTAATGCCAAGCCAGGAGGCTCAGACCAGATGACATCACCCAAGGCAAGAAGGGGCTGTGTATAGGTTTCTAACAGACTAGCCCTTTCACCAGCCAGTACTGCCTGCAGAGAGGGGTGGCTTTGAAGAGGCAGCCATCTTCAGAACCGATGTGATAATAATCAATTAGAGACCTATAGAGTTTAGAGGATGAAATCCAAGCAAGCAGGATCCCCAGTGTGAGCATTCACAGGGGCAGCATGCACGTGCAGCTGTGTGCCGGTCAATGAACATGGGTTACAGCTTCCTAAAGACCAAGGTCCCCTGCATCTGCCGCGTTCTCCAGGAAGCATTAATAGGACCACAGATCAAAGCCTTCACAGCATCCAAATGTCCTGTGACCTTGGGTGACTACTTCTCTCCTGCTCCCCTCTGGGCACCAGTCCTATCTCGTCATCGTGTGTCCTTCTCAAACATCCCTGGAGCCGCAGCAGGTGTTTTCAGAGCCCAGTCGGATGGATGAGTGTGCAGGCTGGGGTGGGCAGACAGATGGGGAGATCCAGACTCTACAACTTTAGGGTAACTTCTCTGTAGATGACACCGCTGTGCTTTCGGAGAGCACTCTAGGCCCTGGTGGACATATCTGTTTAATCTTGATTACACAACTCAACTTCCTTCAGGGAATGAGGGATAAACACTCTATTCCCCCAGCCCCCAGGCCAGAGACTCCATGAGAGGCAAAGACAACCAGAGTGGCTGTGGGTAGGATGGATGTGTTCTTGACACAAAGTGGAGACACTTACAAGAAAGGCCTCCCACACCTGCCTTGCTGGGCCCAGGGGCACCGGGACTGGAGCTAGCGGGAGAGTTGAGGCTCTAGGCACGTCAGCAGGAAACTGAATTCAGTCACCAGCAGGGGCAATCAACAGCAGAAAATCGGAGGAAAAGATGAATCCTGCCAATCCCCGCCACTGCACTGTTTTTTCTGTGCTGGTCCCCTGGCAAGCTGTAGTCCCCCACTCCGTATGCCCCACAATGGAGGTGTCTCAGCATGACTGCAGCTGGCTTTTAAGATGAATCCACACCTTACTCTCCCCACTTCCGGTAGATAAGCAGGCTCCGGGTGGGCATCACCCACATGGCACACCTCAGTGCTGAGGCACGAGCCCCAGTTAGCAGACTCCTTCTCTACAGCGGCCAGGGACCTGGTCACTCACCACCTTTGCTAAGGGTCTGCTGGCATGCACCCCATCCTGCCCCAGATTCCTGGCACTTCCCTGTGAACCATCCTGTCACGGCTGCTGAGCGGCAGCTGAGAACACAGGTCTCAGCTGCTGTCACCAGGACCAGATTCAGACAAGAACACTTGGCTAGGATGAGGCTCCCAAATCACACCAGGGACAAACCCATGTCCCTTTCCTCCCCGACACAGCCAAGGTCCCTGGTTAGTGAGGCCTATCTAGGAACTGTGAGACCCAGTCAGGGAGATTTCTGGGAGGTGGAACAGAACAGACCTCTGAAGTCATCCATGTAGTTGATACCAGGGACAGTCTCTACCTGTACCTCATAGCCAGTAGCTCTGGCCCTGCCTAGGGTGTGGGTCAGAGGAACAACGCCTGGCAGTAAACCATGCAGCTTCAAGGCTGGGGTGGGCAGATTGGGCATCTGCACTACCCAGGCCTGGGCAGGCCTATGAACGCTCCTTGGGTAGTTCCTGCGGTGGCTCTGGGTTCAGCCTGCACCTTGTTGCTAATCTGCCCGAGGGCCCTTGAGCAAACTCCTTTGCTTCTGACAGATGTGGCTCTGTCACCTGCAGATGGTGGTGACCTTGGATCTCTACCTTGAGGTGGCTGGCAGGGTTGATGAGAACACACACATATGCCTTCTAATGTTCTGGCACTTGGTAGAAAGGTCCTAAACAGTCACGCCCTCCATCAAAGTGCAACCAGCGGGCAAGGCCCTCACCTCCAAGTAGGTGTCATTGTGGAAGTAGCTACAGAGAACACAGACCCGCAGCCATACAGACCCAGC